GCTCTTCTCCTCGTGCTGTCCTAACGCACAGCTAATTCCTCGTGCTCTCAAGAGGTTTATTCAGCGTGGCAGAGGATACATACTATTTGCATAGACCGGTCAGAAGGAATTAAAACTGTTTGTCTTTTCCTTTACCCCGGTCCTTTCCCATTACAGAGCGTTCAGAATATTTCTGTAGGTCATTTGACTCTCTCTTTGGTGGCTGTTCATGGCAAAGAGGTTTCCAAGCACACGGGTATTTGAGTAACTCCCTATAAATAAATAAATTGTACTCACAAGTGAATTCCTGGACCCGGTAGCTGGTTAAGTGTCCCTTAGTGTGTTTAGGAGCAGTGAATCAACGTGTTCCTCCCATTATCTCAGCGATAAAGCAAAGTTTGTAACTCTCCACCAGAAATACGCCTACTCCTGTCTGGGAGAAGTAATGCTTCCAAAGACAGGGAAGGATCTTTTCCTGCTTTTTCTCTTTCTCTCTCCTCTGTGTTCAGATTCCTCTGTGAATGGCTGCTTTCTGGAGTAAACTTTCCTCTCACTGTGGCTCCAGCCACCCTGACATGTGCTAATATGCTCTTTTACAAAAGATGATTTCTATTTTCAGCCCCACTAGCAGTGCTGGGAGTTACAGGGCGACCTCCTTCCTGTCAGGATAGCTGGTGGTGAGCACAGCAGTGTCTAATTCAACTGCAGTCCAGAGTGGGGAAAGGGAGCTGCTGCTCCGGGGAAAAGGGCAGGTTTTCAGCAGCTCTTTGAAGGAATTAAGGAGCAATTCCTCCCCGTCAGAGCAGAGGGTGGAGATTCCACGTGGGACACAGTAGGTGGCACTCTGTTTCTGGAGAGAGCACCGAGCCTTGGGAGAGCAACTGGATTTGTCTTTGGTTTTGGTTTGAACCAGATCTGTTCATTGAAGAGCTGTTCTTGTAAGGTTAGCAAGGTTGGTCACGGTGGCTGAGCTGAATTCCGCTGCTGGGGAGAGTGTCCTGGCTCCCTGCATTTCCAGTTAGGTGCATTTTTATTTTTGCTTCCCTTTGAGGCAGCGCCTCACTTCAACCCCGAGTTGGCTGCCTTTCAGCAGGAGCTGGGAACATCCAAAAAGCATTGTTAATTTAGAGGTGAGGTTGCTCAAGTCTATTTTCTCCCGACAGTACAAACACTACAGGGCCAGAACAGAAGGTGAGGCCACAAATGTGCCCCACTCCGGGGCAGGCTTGAGTGCTGTTCTGGCTAGAGGTGCTGACTGGGCTCACCTCAAACCTCTGAGATCTACTGCTTCCTCTCCAATTCCTCACAGCCTCTCCTGAGCTCCTGCACAGTAATTGGTCACACTGCACCATGGAATAGTTTTAAAAAATCAAGGTTTATTTAATTTTACAATTACTCCCAAAAGCGATATTCCTGGCCTGCTGTTACAGTATGCACTAGACAGAACAGAAAGATGATCTAATGTTCAAAATCCACAAATTAATACCTACAAAGTGCACAGACTGTCAAATCAGCTGAGTGACACCAGCAGTGCTTAAGGAGCGTATATTCTTGAAGTGTCTCTGCCACACTAATTCTCAGACGCATTCTGTTTAAATAATATATTAGGAATTAAAAGATCGGGGTAGCGGTGCATGTTAAAATGTGATTTTCAGATCCAAGAAGCGTGCAGAGAGTAGGATGTAGTATAAAAACCAAGTGTGTTTGAACAAGACATCTGGTTTATATAGTGCTGGCTGTTCCCTGTGCTGTGAGCTGTTCAGTTGCACTGAGTCAACTATAATAAAACAATACATTCATATTTATTAATTTTTTATGTAGGCTTTTGGAAACAGGAAGAGAAGTGAGAAGTACACAGGATATCAAGGAAGATGCCCAAGAGATGTGTCTCTGTTAAGCTCTTTTGCAAGCCACATGAATAGCTTCAGATCTGGTTAGACTCAGGAATCAAATACAGGTCCTAACCCTTATTTAGTCTCAGACTTCCGTGGACAAATCCCACGCTCTTAATTTTGCCGTGCGGCTTCTCTATCTGCAAGACAGGGATAATAACTCCATCTGCCTCTCGTGGGTGCAGCGGAGCCAATTTCATCACTGTCAGCTCCGTGGAATCCCTGGGTGAAAGGAACAACAGAAATACAGAAAACATGGGTTATTAATAGCTGGTGCTTGCCCTTACATACATCACATGCACCGTTAGTCTTTGTGGCCAATAATTTACAGGGAGTGAAAAGATGTTCCTCTGAGTAAACACAACATGACACATGGATGGTATTAGACCTCTGAGGTGGTGTGGTCCCCAGGAGTCTAATTCAGTCTAAATCCAGTGATGCCACCTTGAACAGATCCTACTTTGTAGTGCAAATCTTAATAGTCAAATTTAAACTTTTAGGCAGTTTATATTGTAAAGGCAGGTGCTGGAATTGGTGTGCAGAGCAGATTCCTGGTGGTGTCCAGCTTTTTCTGCCTCCTTCATAGAGCCCAAAGGTTATGTCCTCCTTGACACGTTGGATCCCCTTCTGTTAGCAGGGGTGCCCTGGGTACAAAATTTACCTTCCGTAGTTTGTAAGTGGTGGAGCTCAGAACTGAGGGCAGCTTGTGGCAATAATCTCGGGTCACTGGTACCCCCCTGAGGAGAGCTGTGGTATAAGAAACACGTGGCCGTGAATTTCAGCACTTCACCCCTCCCGCCCACATTGCAGCCCATGATTGTCCATGGGCAGGTCAGCAGTACTGGCAGACTGGGAGAGAGGAGCCTGTGGGAAGGAGGAGCTCACACTGCAAGAGTGAGAAATGGAGGAAGTCAGGATGCAGGACAGCTGACTGAGAGAGGCCAGGGTAGCAGGATGTGCCACAGTCAGGCAGAAAGCATTTCACTGGGCTTGTGTTTATGGAAAATGTCTGACTTCAACTGGGAGCCATCCTGCCACTGTTGTCAGTGTCCCCCAGGCACCACTAAGTATGGAAATCACCACCCAGCATAAAAGTCAGAGGCACAAAATCCAAAGATCTCTGAAGAAAGCCACTTTCTGCAAGCCTGGCCATGCCTGGTTCATGCCATTAATTTGAAACTTGGGAAAACTCATTTTCTTTGTGCATATCTCCTCCTGTATCCCCGAGGGCAAATTAAAGATGGCTGGGAGGTTATTTATTTTCGGTAATAATGCATACACTGCTTCCAGACTTCCTGCCATTGTGCGATTATCAAGATTAATTGCCCGGGAAAGCTGCAGCATCATCTCAGGCCCTTAATAAGGAAGATCACAACATGGATTTATATTAATGCATATTGTTGTGTGACACGGCTTTGCTCTTAGAGCCACACGGACAAATCTCAGCACCACTGCACCTCCAGAGTGAGGGAAGGGTTGCACGTTCCCTTCCCTGCAGGGCCACAGCACCTTGAGAGCAAGGAGCAGGGAGTTGATGACATTTTTAGAAACCTCGTTAGTGAATAACTTTGCTTATTCTGAAATCAGTTCCCATCAGCCTCTGCTGAGTGATTCTGAGAATTGCTGGTGTGCTGCTGGTGACCCCATCTGTACAGGTGCAATAGCTGGAATCTTAAGTATGCTTTTAGGTGCTTTAAAGTGTTGTGTTCTTACCAGGGAGAGAGACTCTGTACAGGGAAGGCTTTTAAGGCATATTCTGCCCTTTTGGTTTTCCTGCTGAGAGTTTAACAAACCAGTGTTGTTGCCTTGCTGCAGAGATCCTGTTGTGCAGCAGCTCAGTCTGGTTCAAGGCCCAGGTTTTAAATGAACAAGCATTAACAAAGGTAGAGCTTGAGGAGCTTTAAAGCAAGTCCAGTTCTACTAAAACATTTCAGTGATTTGGACTGTAATGTGTCAGGCAGAGGAGCAGCATGTACATGTCCTGCAGCAAATTCAACACTTCCCTTTGTTAAACCACTGTAAATCCAGAGTCACTCCGTTGCCATCACTGCTGTTAATTCTTCATTTGCTGTGACAAGTTAGTTGTGGTATCTCACAATATTATAGTGGCTGCCCTGTAGAATACAAAGTGGAGCCGATGAAATCTTGGCAATGTGAGTCCACAATACATTGGCATCTCCACGTGTGAAACATTTGGAGGGGGACTGGAGCACCATTGTGTTGGGCAGTGAGGCTCCTCAACAAACTGACACCCAGGAAAGGTTTTAGTCCTCACTCTGGGAGAGTTGTGACTGGTTGTGTATCTTTTACACCAATACCTGTGGAAAAATCTTTAAAAAAATCCTAAACAGATAAATTGGGGATTATATTCAAACTGTGTGTACCTTCAAAACAAAAATGGATGTTATTGCAAGGTCCACTGGGTAATATTGACTTGCCACTGAGGTGAAGATAAGCTTCTTGGAGACTGTGCTTCATGGAACAGTAGTTAAATGTTGTTGTTACTTTCTTAGAAATGCAATAGATATTTCCAGGCACGTGACTCCAAGCTTTATTGATTACTTCTGTACAGCACAGGAGTCTATAGAGTGGACTGAGTCCTGAAGTCCAGGCTCAACGTAAGCTTGGCTCAGCAGGAAATCTGCACTGAGCTGTAGATGACAGCCCAATCTCCAGTTCCATCCTGATCCCAACGCTATCAGTGCTGGCTTCTTCTAAAGAAGGATCAAACAGTCAGAGCAAGCCTGATGATTTTGACCCCAAATGGCTTTACTGACATACAAACTGAGGCCTTCCAAATTCTCTCCTTACCCAACAGTCGCTGTAAGAAGTGCAGGTTTGTCAGTTCTTCTGGGGCAGCTCCCAAGTCCCAGTGGAAGTTTCCAAGTGGTCATGGCCAGCCGTGCACCCAGTTCCCCCAGTCCTTTCTGAACCCTAAAAGCCAGAGGAGGAGTGTTCCTGTGATATTAATTACTTAATTAGCAGCTTGTGCCCTCTGTGCACGAGGCAGAGCAGCAGCGAAGGCAGTGACTGACAGCAGAGATGTATTAGATCATTAGTGCTGTTGACCTGGACTCCCTGATCTCCTGCTCTATGGCTGATCTCACATGTCTCTGTCTTGCTGTCCAGGTTTTATTGGGATTTGACCATGCTGCTCCTGATGGTAGGGAACCTGATCATCATCCCTGTGGGCATCACTTTCTTCAAGGATGAAAACACTACCCCATGGATTGTCTTCAATGTGGTTTCGGACACGTTCTTCCTCATCGACCTTGTCCTCAACTTCCGAACAGGCATCGTGGTGGAGGACAACACCGAGATCATCCTGGACCCGCAGAGGATCAAGATGAAGTACCTCAAGAGCTGGTTTGTGGTGGATTTTATCTCCTCCATCCCCGTGGACTATATCTTCCTGATCGTGGAGACCCGCATTGACTCCGAGGTGTACAAGACGGCCCGGGCCCTGCGCATCGTGCGCTTCACCAAGATCCTGAGCCTGCTGCGGCTGCTGCGGCTCTCCCGGCTCATCCGCTACATCCACCAGTGGGAGGAGGTGAGCACAGCCTCTGGGGCACTGACTTCTACACCTTCCCTTGCAAAAGTGCTTGCTTTGAATGCCCACTCTCCTCCTTTATGCCAGTGCCAATGCTAAGCAGTTGTGGCTGGGCCCTAATGCTTTGTTTTTAGCAGGTTCCCAAGAGGGCCTTCTGGGTCTTGTTACTCAGGCACTTGAGACTGTGCTGTCGGCTTGAGGAGCATCATTTAGATGATGTGTGGAGATGCTGCGTGGGCTGGGAGGAGAGCAGGACCCCTTGCAGGAAGTGTGTAGCTATAGAGCTGCCTGTGAGCAGAGCAGTTACCCAGACAGCGAGGGCTTGCCCTCTCAGAGCCCCAAAAAGGCCAGAAACAGCTCAGAGGAAAGGTCTAGAGACAGCTGATTTGCAGGACCTGTGGCATCTGTTTACCATCTGCTTCTTCTATGTGCTTATCTCTTGAATAAAGAGAGGAGCATGGTGATATATTATAACCTTCTTGCTGTCTAAATTCTGTGGCACGCTGTTAAGGGGAAGAGGAAGAAAGAGCAATCTGCAGACAAAGTGAGTCTGTTTAAAGACATAAAGGTCTAGCGAAAGGCAAGATCCCTACTGCCACCCCTGGACCTTGTGCTGTTCCCAGGGGAGTTCCAGGGTGCAGGGTGACTTGTCAGGCATAATGTGAGCGAAGGTGCAACCTTTCAAGTCCCTTGAGAATTAGTTATTTTTTCCCGTCTCCGTGCTCTCCAAAGCAGAGAGAAAGCTCCCTGCGTCTTTCTCCACACCTCAGGAGCATATTTTCTGGACAAGGAAAGTTGGTCAAGGCAATTTCATCTTCCTCCCCATACTTTCTCTTCTGCTTTGGAGCAGAGCCTGATGCAGAGCCTGATCTAATGCAGAGCGTACTCCTGGGAACGTGAAGGGAAAGCAGCCATGCAAGTCATGGCTGGATTGCACCGAGCTGTCAGAACACTAATTTATGGCAGAGCTGAACCGTCCCCTCCTCCAGCGTGGCAGACTCAGGTTGAGCACTGGGGCATCCTTTACAAATTTCAGGCTTCATCTTTGTGGTGTAGTAATTTGTGAGTGCCTCACTCAGAGCAGAGCGTAACGCTTTGCTGAGGTCTGGGGTGACACTGTGCAAGGTGCTGAGGGACAGACGGCCACAAGAATTCCCTACGAGGTTCATTTGCTTCGTAGCACAGGCAGGAAGTGCACAGAGAGGTGGAGATGAATAAAGCACGAGTGTCCTTCTCGGTGTGACTCAAGAAGTCGGAGGCTGAGAGAGCAGTGGAATAGCTGCAGGTCTGTTATCCTGTCCCATGGCTGCATTGCTTCTTTGCCCTCCACTCCGAGAGTGCTCAGGAACGGAGAGTTGGTGGCTTAGGCTGTTATTAAAGTAGTTCCTTCACAGTGATTTACAGGTACCCACAGCAGTGCAGAGCTCCTTGACTTCCCTTCCACGAGTTGGTTGGAGAGGATTTAAGTATATTTGCTTTTGATTGTACTGAATTTGTTTTAAGAAATTATGAAATGAAAGCAAATCAGTGCTTTTCCCTCTCTTGCTCCTCATAGTTTGACCGAGCAGCCATTTCTAGTTTCATTCTCAAACCCCATTTGTGGGATGCTGTTCCCTCCTGCTGCCGTCCTGGGTGCTGGGGCAGCACAGCCGGGTGCTCTGCAGACCCCCCCGAGGAACAGGCTCCCCGGAGCGATGCAGTGCTGCCTGTGGAAGGGCCAGATGGTGCTGGGTTGCAGTTTGGGACTGCAATGCAGACTCTGTTATGCACTGCAGAGCCCGCCAGACCAAACATGATAGTCTTTTTGTCAAACAGGGCTCAACACAAGCAGCAGTTTCCTGGAGAGAGTTTAATACTGGGAGGTTTTCCACCCTCTCACACGGGGGAGGGGAGCAGAGGAAGGGGTGATCCCTTGCCATTGGTGCAGTGCCTGCTACAAAGCAACGGGGAGACAGGGAAGGGAAGTGCTGCTTCATCTTTGCGTGGGAGTTGTGCTCCCTGGAACCACACTGACAGTGCTTTCTTCCTCTCACTCTGAAGTGCCTACAGATGATCTGTGTCTGAAAGTCCACATTAATCTTTCCTCACTGCACCGATCAGTGGTGATGTGGAAGTGTTAATAATTCCTGTAGGACGGAGCAGTGTTGGACTAGACCTACTTGGGGTGTATATGAGGGGCAGGCTGCTGTGCAGAGTTACAGAAGGAGAAGGACTCTTGAGAGAGGGGGTGACTGAAGGCCTGTTCTGCTGTGGTCCTCCCACTGTCCCTCTCTGTGTCTCATCATCTAGGTAGTATCCTTCTCTCTCAGGATCTTTGCATATGACCAGATAAGCTAAAAAGGAGGTGTGAGTAGGGCACACTGGTCCTCAGGAGGGGATCCAGAGGAGTGTGAACCAGAGGAATGTGTGTAGGGCAGTGAGGCAGAGTTAACTCAGGTGGTGGACCAGTCAACGAGGGAGGGCGGGATGTTGTGTCTGGGCAGAGCCTGCACATCCCATTCCCCTGCACATCCCATTCCCCTGCACATTCCATTCCCCTGCACATCCCATTCCCCTGCACATCCCATTCTCCTGCACATCCCATTCTCCTGCACATCCCAGTCCCCTGCACATCCCAGTCCCCTGCACATCCCAGCCCCCTGCTGGGGCAGTGACTTCGGATGGAGGGATTGCTGCTGCCTCGCTCATAACTAGTGGTGGGACTGAGTGCTGTGTGAGGAGCAGAGGAGACTCTGCACACACAGAGTGTTCTCTCCTTGCTCAGCCTCCCAGAACGTTACAGCTGTGCATTAGTGGGACTGGGAGTGAGTACAGGGATAAGTGGTCACTTCCTGAGTTCTCAATGAGCCTCTCCGTGCTTTCCCCTGCAATTGTCCATGCTCTGCATGAATTTATCACTCCCCCTGCAGTGAGGGGAGAGCAGCCTCGGTGAGGGCTGCAGTGCTGTAAAGCAGCCAGGCTCTCATCAGTTCCAGATCAATGCCAGGCAGGAGTCCGTGGGATCCAGAGCTGGGGGTTTGAAGTGCCTGCTCCGTTTTGGCTCAGAGCAGAGATGCTTGACATCCACCCCCAGATTTCAGAGAAGCACCGTGGGGACTTCAGCTGGGCAAACAACCTAAAGAGGAAAGGAAAGAGAAAGGGAAGAAAACCAATCTAATGCACTCGTGTTCACTGGAGTACGAAAATAAGCTTAATTCCAAATGTAGCAGTTTCATTTGCATTATGCATTTTGCATGAGTGGCCCCACGAATGAATTTACCAGTAGGGCAGAATATAAATAGAGTCTTTTTGAAGTGTCTGCCGTGTCTCCCCTGCAGTAGGAAGCTTGACTGCTGTGTAGGCAGGTGTGCACGGACTGGCTGGAGCCTGGCTCGCCTCAATATCAGATCATGAACTCCGGAGTCTGGGAGCTCCCAAGGCCAGCAGCAGAGGAGCAGGAGGGCTGGCACAGTGGGAATGTTGAACTGTCCTACCAGGGCAGACCCAACAGGGCTGCTCCAGCCGTGCCCTGTCCCTGCCCAGGGCAGCTCTGGTCACCTCAGCCTCTGAACATTCCAGCAGCTCTTGGGGTGTCCGGGTTGGTCCACGGCTCTTGGCCCCGTGGACATGGAGGCACATTCATTGTCCCAGGGTCAGGGAGTTGGGCCTTTCCACTGCTGGGCTGAGAAACCCTTCGGAGGAGGCTCCAAACGTGAACATCCTACAGACCTCACCCCAAGGTCAGCTGGCACAAAGAATGGAGCACCAACACCATGTAACCCATGGGCTCAGTCAAACTGAACCATCCTGGGCAGACTGGGAGTGTTAGACAAAAAAAACTCTTTCGGTTTTCATAAGCAAAAGGGATTGTATATTATTTTTCCTCAGAGCAGTTTGCTGAGCTTTCCCTGTTCTATGCACAGCATCTACCCCCGTGTTTGGTGCCAGGATGCAGCAACCTATATTTAAGATCAGACTATTTTGACTTATGAACAAGGAATATTTATTGGAACAACAGTAAAATCCTGCTCCTGTAAATTGGTTTTCATATAGCACATAGGCTAAGATAACCAAAATATTTTGATTTCAGACTCTATGGGAGCGTTGATGATGAGAAGGAAAGGAACTATCTGGTTTTGATATATATCACAATGATAAGATTATCATAAATGAGGATTTTTTCAGATTTTTGTCAGAAAAAAAATTATAGCTTTCGGGTTTTGCAGCTGAAACCTGAAGAAAAGGACAATTTGGTGATTTCCAAATTATTATGTCATTGAAAACTTGCAAACTTGCCTGAGTGCTGTCCTTTTATTTCCTGGCTTTCCATATTACAGAGAAGCTTCAGCATGGAGGCAATGCATCTTCTCAGGTGCCAGTAACAACTTCCCAGTAAAAACTCAGCACAGACTGCATCATCTGAAAGATGATGTCACTTTTAAGAAGACTCAGATGTTCAGAAAATTGATTCAAAGGGCTGGTGTGGAAGGACTAGGAGGGAGCTTCCAAAGGCTAGGAGGACATGGCTTCCAACTGATTTTCATTTTGATTTGCTAATTCCCTTAGTTTCTTCTGACCTATTTGTAGCCTTTCTTAAATTAAATTAAATTACCAGGGCCAGTGGCCTGGGGGATGTGATGTTGGGCCAAATCCGTAAGTGGATCCTGGGAGGGGAGGAGCCGGGCAGAGTGTTCCCAAGGAGCACAGCAGGGTCCTGTTCCACAGGCATTTCAGAATAGCTGAACAGATTTTTTATCGATATGATTTGCAATTCTGTCGTGTTAAATAGCAAGGCAGACCCAGGAGAATAACTCATTAAAACCTCTGACCACCCTGGAAGAAAATCAGACTCCACAAACACTGGTAATGTGGCGGGGAGGGGCGAGTGGGCTGGGGTTTGTCCTAAATTTGCATTACCTCATTTCTGAAGGCAGCTTTGTCAGGCATTGGTCTTAGTGTCCTTACAGGAGCTTATCAGAACCAAAATGCAAGTTACAATAATAAGTTCCCATTCTCACTGC